GGGCCAGCACTGATTGGCCAAGCAATCCCACGTGATCCTCTGCAGCAAGCGATGGCCAAGCGGGGTGTGTCATCACAACTTTTCACAAGTGTGTCTTTACCTCCATGGCAGAGGCTCCACTGAACCCCTGAGACCTGCTCATCGAACCCCTAGGGTTCGATCGAACCCAGGTTAAGAACCACTGTTCTACACGCTATATAAACTGATCACACATACTTTGACCTTCATAGTGCAGTAAATAGTCTGCAGGTCCATTATGATTCCTTTGTGTTGACCTCTCAATGTATTTTTCCACTACATTTAGCAATCACATCGCAAATGCTGTGCTTAAATTTAAAATCAAAACCTCYAGGAGCAGCATGAACTTTAGCATTAAGGTCAAAATGTTTAAAAAAAAAGCCAGGATTGAACTGCCAACCTTCTGCAGATGGCGGCTCCTGCTCCCGAGACACAGCTTTCCCAGTAGGGTCTGATGGATTGTTTTACATAATGTCATTTAGTTTCTTGTTAAATTTGTTCGTATTATCTAGTTTAGGACTTGCATATATAATAAATAGGGCAGACCTCGACAATGAAATAATATTCTACAGTTAGGCTATCAGATTGGARGGAAAAGCTGACAATATTTTTAAGGTAAGACCAGAAGTTTCTTTGGATGTTAACATCTCCAACCATTTCTGGCCTTTTACATTAACAAGCATCTTTACAAAGTCTACAGATGTTTAAAAAATGAAGTAAAAAAGATACATCATCCTGCTTTGACAAAAAAGTGAGTTATGTTTAGTTTTTGGTTATTAATGGAATAAGGTAAAATATTAAATAAAATATTAGTTGAGAGTTTGATTTGTACTAAAAAGCAGTGATTCTAATGGAGATGGTTTTAGACAAAGCTTTCTGCATTTTTTGCCTTTTTTCAACCCCTATTTAATCCCACAGAATTTAATTATACCTCAGCCACGCCAAGTGGTACATGCCATCAATCTTAATCAATTAATTAGTCAACTAAACAAGCCACGCTTAGACATTCACTCACTCTTAATTTCCCCATTGTGCTAATTACGCTTAAACGTGTCATTCCAAATTAAAATTGAACATTTAAATGGGATTAGTAACATCCAGCTGAAACATCACCCCTCTGCATTCATAATGCCTGGACAGCCATAAACAGCAAATTCCCTTCTTTTAGAATTCAGACAGCGTGACTTCAAACTTCACCTTATCTGGGGG